ACGCGGGCCTCTCACTGTTGTGGCCTCTCCCGTTGCGGAGCACAGCTCCGGACGCGCAGGCTTAGCGGCCATGGCTCACGGGCCTAGCCGCTCCGCCGCATGTGGGATCTTCCCAGACTGGGGCACGAACCCGTGTCCCCTGCATCGCAGGCAGGTGGACTCTCAACCCCTGCGCCACCAGGGAAGCCCCCAACTACTCTTAAAAATAATGCAAAGTGAAGTCATTTATAGGATTCATGAGACCTTGTCAAGTCCCATTTCTGGCGATTACAGGCTTTGTGACTTTACGTACAATATATACCTTCTTTGGGTCTCAGTTCCTTATTCCTTACCCATCTAAGAGGATAGGTGATTTAGAATACAGCTCTGTGAACACAGTCCACCATCTTTATGACTTTCCACTATAATGAAGCTCTACAGAGTATGCATTCTGAATAAATCTTTTGTGTGTGGGTGTATTTGCTGAAACAAACTATTTTGATGATACCCTTTTCCTTTCTAAAGACGTTAAAAATATTTTCTAGTCATAACAATGGAGAGAACAAATAGCATAGAGGGAGCCCATGGGTGTAGAATGGGAAGTCTGGAAAACTCCATCTACTTAAAAGGATAAGAGGGTGCCATGTAACAAGATTAGAGGAGCTGGAACCAGGTGTGTTGTTGGCAGCAGTAGGTGGCAGCAGGAGCATGAACCTTGCTTTGGAAGCAGTTATTGGGAACCCTGACTTGGAGGTTTTCAACTGACAAACTAAAGAACACTGCCTCACTTTTAAGAACTTAGTAATTCTTACAGTGTAGTAGTTGCAAATTGTGTTACACAGTATGTACTTTACAGTTAGGTCATATTATATATTGATGATATCACCTAATATGTTCTGATCCAGAGCGCTGCCCAATTTCATCATATGGAAATAGGGCTTTGGAATGTTAAAGAAGATGAGTAATTCTTACTGCAGGCCGAGGTATGGGTTTCTGAGGTTTCTTGGACCCAAGTTTCTTCATTGCATTGTAATATTTTTTTTGTTCCTCTGTCATAAATATGTCTTGACCTCCAAAGTAAAGACATAGTATAAAACTGGTTACAATCCAACCTGTATTACAACAGTATTTTTACAAAAGTATTTCTGAGTCTCTCCTTTAATCCTTTTTTTTTCAGTTTCTAAATGGATATTATCCTGCTTCATATAGATTTATCCTGCTTTTCCCTTTTATGTGAAATTCTGAGTACCTTAACATTATGTTAAACCCATAATCACATAAAACTCTGATTAGTACAGGATTCTAATTTGATTATATTACATTTAGAAGGAGGCTCAGGAGTCTCAAATATATTTTCATGAAAGAAAAAAAATCTTAGTCATTTCAGTGTTGACAATTTTACTTCTTCATTCAACACTTTTTGAGCACTTCCTGTGTCTTAGACAGTACACCCAGTATCAGAACTACATAGATATATAAGACACAGTGTCTATATGCAGACAAACAAAAACAACCCAGTACTGTAGAGATAACAATAATCTGTTTCTGAATCTGTTCTGAGATTCAGAAACAGGCTTTATATAGGGAAGTACCCTTAAGCTAGACCTTAAAGGATGATTAAGGGTTTGCTAGGCAAAGCACTTTAGGAAGAGAAAATATCCTATGTAAAGTCATGGAGGGAGAAGAGCATGCCTTGTTCAGAAAAGGGCAGAAATCCATGTAGCTGTGTATGTAGCAAGTGATAGTGTTAATGGTGGGTACCTGAGGAGTAGGGAGGTGCATATAGAAAGTGTGGTGTGGAAGAAGATGAAGCAGGAAGACTGGGTGGAGATAATTCCTGAAAGGCTCTGTAAGCAAGGGTAAAGCATTGAGGCCCACTGGATGTTTTGAAGCAGTGGTCATAGTTTTGAGTCAGAAAGACACTACAGCAGATCTGCAGAGGATGAATCTGGAGAGGAGCCACCAGTTAGAGGCTGGACTCCTCTGCAGCTGAACTGACCACATAGTGAATGGAAGACAATTTAAAAATGATCTAACTCCATCATGACTATGAGTGTCCTGGTTATTTGGATGTAAAACAGACAGAACCTCAGAATGGAGAAAGGTGAGAGCTGAGGAATACTTATCTTCTTTTTCTGTTGGTTGAAGTTATCTATGATGACACCAATGAATAGATTCAGAGTGAAGAATGACCCAAAGATGATAAAGATGACAAAGTATAAGTACATATACAGATTTTCTTCATATACAGGCTGAAGTTTAACCTAAATAATATTGAAAATATTAAATAATATTTAAAAACACAATAAATACTTGAGCTAAATTAAAAATTTGGTGAGTGTTGTTACTTACTATAGAGTTATTTTTGCCTTGACCTGAGATACTGTTCTGCAAAAGCAATTCTTTTTCCAAATTAGTATGACCTAGTATAATGAAAATTTGTAATTTTACGATTGTTCTTAAATCTATTTTCCCATTGTGGCTTACCTGTACCTATTCTTTAGAGTAAGTAGCAGTGGTATAAACAAGGCAAACATTTTGAACCTGTTATTAGTCTTGCTATAATTTTTTTTGCAATATTTTCTCCTTGGGTTTGTAAATGCTAGCTCTTGGAGATAAGGCTTTAATAACAGAACATCAAATTCTAAGAGGAAAATTCAGCATAAACAGATATGTTCTGAGGAACTATATTTATTCCTATTTTCTAAATTGAGTTTCCCTGAAACTTGCTTGCTTTTATCATGATATTTTTGGAAGCTGCTTCACAGACTCTGGTTTATCATACTCTCCAGGGATAGGGAGAGACAAATTACTTCCCCACTGAGCAGCTTTCCCAATCTTAAGAGTCTCATTTACTGGGCCAATCTGATTCTTCTAATCCATGCAGTTAGATATCCTTTCATATTAGATCTATAATAGACATATGTTAACCAAAATATCATTTATATTGAAGTGAATTGGCTTAAAAAGAGAATTTCTATATGCAGTTATAAATGTTCTGATTGCTTCTAATATAAAATTCTGGGCCTTTCAGTTAAATTATCACTATGGAAAAATCTAGTAGCTATAAATAGTATTTGAGTGAAACTTACATCTCGTGAATCAACAGCTGCATACATAATATCCATCCAGCCTTTAAATGTGGCCTGTAAACAACATATATTTGAATTCTGCATAAAAACCTAATCCAAGAATATGCATTCTACCATATGAAAATATGATAGTGTTATTAAATATAACTTTTTGTACAATATTATGAAATATTCTACAAAGAGATTTAAATGGATTGAATGAAGAAATGAAATTGAAATAGAACAAGATTATTTCAAAACTGGAACTCTTTTTCTTTGTCTTGGAAGGTATTTTGTTTTTTTCTACACTAACATGTAACTAGGTGAAACTCTCATCTCAGTCTCAAATCCCTTTCAAAAGGTAAGCTCTATGATTCAAACCTCTTGTGTGTTTAAACACTCAACTGTTTTCATTAAATTCTTGATTAGTTAATATACTGTCAGTTAAGTCAAAATAATTAAACATTACACATTTTGAAATCCACTCCATAAGATTTTCATTTCCACACATAGTAAGTAGAACTTTACTCCTTAGATCTTGGTACAATTATCTGTACATTAATCTGTACATTATCTGTACATTATCTGTACCTGTGTATTAATTAATTAATACTTAGATTAATACATAGATTAATAATCTATACATTTAATTAATCACTACAATAGATACATTATTATTTTAATACATATAATTGCTTCTTTGGCATTTATTGCTACCGAAAATTAAAAATGGTAATAGCACAATAACACTCAATAATAGAGTAAGAAAACACAGGAAGCAGAAATATAAAATCACATTAAAACATATTAACAACTGAACACTGGGGAAAATACATTTTAAAATCACTGCAAAACATCTTCTTTAGTCAAGTCATGCTAATAGTACAGGTGTTGTCATCAACTACTTTCGTGCTATCAGATATTAATCACTCAAACAAAGAACATCAGAGAAATGATTTTACTTGAAACATTTTGAAAACGTATTCAAAATTCATACAGTAGGCACTTACCACTTGAAGCAGTGCGAGATATCCAGCGCCAACATTATCAAAGTTTACTTTCACATTTTTCCACCGAGCTTTCTTGCCAAGAGCCTGACAATCACTCAAATTGTTAACTTCACTAACTTCAAACATGTTACCAGTTGTCGTGTTTACACAGTGGTAGAACTTGCCAGCAAACAAATTCACACCCATGATGCTAAAGATCAGCCAGAAGATGAGACACACCAACAGCACGTTCATGATAGAGGGAATTGCTCCAACAAGAGCATTCACAACCACCTAGAAGAGGAGATAAGGATAAGGCAGCTTACAAATTGTTAAAATGGAAACCATTTCTTCCATTATTTATTCAATATAAAATGGGTGTGAAACGAGTTAAATAAAAATCTAGGTGGACAAGTTTGTTTCTTCTGATATTTTCTAGGACATATTCAGTAGGGGAAAACAAACAGTGACACACTAAAGAGCTAAAGGATTTAAGGAAAGCAAAATATGCCAAAGTGTGAAAAGAAATAAACAAAAACCTGATATAGTAAGATGGAGTCAGAAAATGTTTGTATGCTGGGGAAAAAAAGAAAAAAAAAGATGTATTAAATACCAACAAGAAATAATCATCATTCAACAATATATGTTAACTTTCAGGTGTGTTCATGAATGACTGATGATTTGAAAACATGGTTAAACAAACCCATTACAAATAAACAAAGTATTAATAATGCCTTAAATCTGTATCACCAGATCAAGTTAACTTTTGATGAAGATGAAGAATGGTATAAGGAATTTACAAGGTCCTTTTTCCCCATATTGATAATTCCTAATTTTAAAAAAGTATGTTAAATTAGGAAATGAGATGGAATTTATCTCTGGACATAAATTACTGAATGTGTTCCCATTATTATTGATCCAAATCTCTTAAATGTTCACTTCAGGGCACACGTTACTTCACCAACCCAGGCCAACCTATTTCATGAAGGAGAAATTCAGTCATCTTTCCTCTAAATTCAGAAGAGATTAATGTGTATTTTCAAATCTCTAGTGATTTGTATCTTTTCTTATCTAATTAATCTAGCTCATACTGGGACTATTTTGTTAGGCACTTATATTAAATGAAACAATTGTTTTATTTTAAAATACTGAAACATTATTTTAGAAATCAACACCAAAGAATTTTAAATTAATATCAAAACCTGAAATCCAAAATTGTAAAAATTTCTTATGCTACTTGAATCTTATTTCATTTAGAAATTGTCATATATACTATACTGAAACCAGGTTTTCTTGGCTCTAAAATGTGTGTAAAATGACCTCCCACAAGTTCTCTTATCATCAAATAAATGCATACCTTTTGCCATATTTTACACCTAGAATGTTAATTCTGCCATATGACAAAATTAAAAATGCCAAACTAGAATAGTTTTCAGATTAGAGCAAACTTGGAAGTTTTCTATTTTGTTCAATTGCTGTCTCCCCTCAAAAATGAATTATTAGGGCTTCCCTGGTGGCGCAGTGGTTGAGAGTCCGCCTGCCGATGCAGGGGACGCAGGTTCGTGCCCCAGTCCGGGAAGATCCCACATGCCACAGAGCGGCTGGGCCCGTGAGCCATGGCCGCTGAGCCTGCGCATCTGGAGCCTGTGCTCCACAACGGGAGAGGCCACAACAGTGAGAGGCCCACGTACCGCAAAAAAAAAAAAAGAATTATTTATATGAAACCATGCAGCCAGATGAAGGCTTAAATAATGTGAGTGATGGTAAAAGATTGGTGTGGAAAAAACTTGAAATTACATAATCATTTTTATTAATTTTACCTTGTGACTTTATCAAGTAGCAATGAAAGAAAATTATTATGTAAAAGCAAGTATTTCATTGCTTATAGTGCATCTGGAGAGTGGTTTCATTCTTCCTGGTGAGTGAATCTCAAAGTCAAAACTGAAGTGTTTTTATCGCTTAAACAAACCATCTCCTAACGTAAAAGCCCCATGACCTAGAAGAAATTCAGTATCCATGTGCATTTGCAAGCTGGATTAAACAAAGCTGGCCTTTGTGCTAAATAGTATTTTGAGGGGCGTGGCAAGTAGATGTGTATATAAGTGTGTACTTTATGTTTAGATGCATAAAATACACACTAAGGAAGAGAGCTGGAGAGGAAAATACAAGTGCTAATGGAAAAAGTGAACCTCATTCAGAATGCTCACTTAAAAGGGAGATCTATGAAACAAACCCCAGGGGTTGCCTTCAATGCTTAGTTAATTATCCTAACCCCTACTTTGGTTGCTTAGGATATATAGATTTTGTCAGAGGCTACAATTTAGTGTTGTTTTCTTGTACAACAACTTTTATTACTGATATTAATTGAAGAAGTAGAGGACACAAAAACCATTCTATCTTTCATTCATTACTGGTAATTTTTTAGAAATCAAACTACCTACTGAGAGGAAGAAAAATCTCCTCCTAGGATGAATGTCAGTAGTAAATAATTATAAAATGCATAAGCAATGAAAAGAAATAAATGGCAACACATAGGTTTTACTTGTTGTGGAAATATCCTTGAACTGTCACCAGAAGACTTGGATTCTAGTTCTAGTTCTGCCACAAACAATTTTTGAGGGCCTGTTTTAGTTTCAGGAGGCTAGGCTCAGTGATCCTTAGGATTTCTGCTTTGAAAATTTGTAATTCTATGAAATAAATATCAGAAGAGTATGGCAGCCCTCTGTATCTAAATCATTACCTACACTTAATTTTTTTCAACAACGTGTTTTATTTATTTAATTAATTAATTTTTTTGCCGCACTATGTGGCATGTGGGATCTTAGTTCCCTGACCAGGGATTGAACCTGTGCTCCCTGCGTTGGGACCTGGAGTCTTAACCACTGGACTGCCAGGGAAGTCCTTACATTTAAATTTGACATGAATCATCAGAGAACCTGTATTTTTCTTACCCTCATGCCTTCAAACCGGGATAAAGCCCTCAGCGGTCTTAAAGCTCTTAATGTCCGTAGGGATTTGATGGCACCAAGTTCTGAGTAACCGAGAGCATTGGCTACCAAGCTAACCAAAGAAACCTAAAGAAGAAACAAATATCAATCAGTCCACCAAGAATATATCTATTCTTTAGTGCCAACCAAATAAAACTTCAGACATACCTTGGCAGCCTTCATATTCCACATAGTGCGATCATCTTACATTGCCAGCCTCATATCATATTATTGCTTTTCTTATCAGTGAAACTGGAGTCTTTGCCCATTTATATAAACATCTGTAAACCCCTTCAGTTAGATATTTTACCCATGGAGCCCTTTTCAACCTGTGCATACACCACTGATGATTTGGGATTTGATTCAAAAGCCATATGCTCTACGGATCTGTGCTTAATATCATTGATTAGAAATCATGCTTTGCTTCCAAATTTATGTAATATCTTGGTTATGTGTATTGGAGGCATTGACCATGTAATAGAGTCAATAGGTTAGATATCTTCTCTCCCCTTCCAGGTCACATTAACTTTTTATGGGCTGAGATGAAGCATTTTTCTTTTAACGTTCCTAATAATGTCTGGTTGAATATGTTTTAGTCAATATATGTTGGATAAATAAAAAAAGAATAAAATATAACCTGGAAAAACATTTTATCAGACCACATAGTTTCATAGTAATGAAAAATATTTTATCTAAACTACTGGACTTACAATTTAAAATACAGTACTTCTCATTCAGAATGATAATACATCTTTCTGATATTTACACAAATGCTAAATTTTACTTAAATATATGAAAGGTTAAAGAAGACATGTCTCTTTTGGGAGGAAGAGACTTTATTTGCTTTTATTTTCTTTCAATATAATAACATTTATTGAAAATTTACTATATGTTAGGTTCTGTTCTGAGTGTCTTACATGTATAAATCTCAAGAAGTAGGTACTATTACTTTTACCTTTTCACCAGTGAGGAAGTTGAGTTTCCCCCACACTCCCCCCTTCAGAAAAAAAAAAAAAGGATGTACAGGTAGAAAGAGGTGAAGTTAGAATCCAAGTGATCTGACTTCAAAACCATATCTCAACCTTTTTCCTCCATTATCAAAAATTCATTCTTAATCTGAACCACAGAACACAGAAAATGACTTGTATGATTATCTTCTCAATTCTTGCAAGGATTTTATATTACTAGTCCTCTTCTTGATGCATCGGAGAGAGGTTAATTTACTACATCCACTGGATGGCTTAAGGATCATGGTGTAAAGGTGACACCAAAACCAGAACCGAGACTTTACAGGCAAATGGAGCCACTGTCCCCTCATTATTTAATTTAACATACATCTTGCAGAATTGAACAGAAAAATAAATGACTTGAATGTTAAACTTCACTAGTGGCAGCATAATTTATCGAGCTATTCATTTCTGTCTAGTGTTCGCTGCTACAGAAGAGTGGAAAGATGGGGAAAGTTATTATCAGAGAACGCACAGGCTTCTATATTCTGGGCTCATTTGCCTCCGGAAGCATTCACAGCTTCTTTAAGTTTCTGGAGCTGCTTTCTGAAGACTTCCCTCATCTTCCCAACCAAGTCCTGAGACTTGGGCATTTAAAGGGAAGTGGCTGCAAATTTCTCAAGACCCTGATGTAAGGAAGCTCACGCTTTGAAAGGAAAAGAAAGGTAATGGTCAGAACCAGGAGGTTCTGGAAGAATAGCAAGTTGTGGGTTCAAAGCTGAGAGGTACCACTTGCACACTGGGGTGGCTCTGTGTGTTGCTAGAGAAGCTGCATTTTAGTGAACTGCCCTCTTTTAATGGACTTCATGTCATTTTGTGTAGGACAAAAACTCATCTTATTGAGTTAAGTATTGTGAAAAACTTAATATGCTTTAAAGGCAATTTTGAAATAAATAGTTTTAAAGATTTTCAGCATACTTAAAATTGGAAGATGATGCCTTATGTTGGTGGGGTGCTTTAAAACTTACAGTGATCTTTTTCACTCATTATCTGTGTCTGAGAGTAGTCAAATGACTAGTCCAAGAAAAGGTAGCAAGGGGCAAGCACATAACTGGAATTTCTGTTTTCAAGTCCAGTGTGTTTCCCATCTCAGCAACTTTGTCCTCGACCTTACAATACACAGTGTTTTAATCTTAGTCTCTTATGCTAAACACAAAAGGCATTCTTCCTAATGTGTGCAAAGTGTAACAGAAACTCTTTGCCAAACACTGAATTTTTAGTACAAATTTACATGATTCTAGATACCTTACTACCCAGAAAATATATGAAACCACAGGGGGTGGTTTAGTTGTCATCCACACCCTTCCACAGTCCTGTGGCAGTTGAGACTGAGAAGGAAGGGAATAATGCAGGAGGGAGTTGACGGTTCTGAAGAAGACCCTGGAAGTCCTGTGATTGTTTAATGAACTAAGTGATATGAATTTATTTCCCTTAAAATGGCTAAAGATAATTTTTTAAGTTCAGTATAAGCAGTTAAAAGATTAAAACCATATGATCACCTCCATACATCGAGATGATACATTTCATTGCAAAGCCTTGCTTAATTTTTGATGGAGAAATTTAGAAGCATTCTCATTAAAACCAGAAATAAACAAAATATGTCCACTATCAACATTATTATTTAACACTTTCTGAAAAAGAAATAAGAGCTATAACAATCAGAAAAGTGGAAGAAGCCATTATTTACATATATGTTATTGTTGACCTCAAAAAATCAGGGGAATAAAGTGAAAAACTACTGTAAACAATAATATAATTATTTTTGGTTGTAATATATTTTATCATATTAATTTTTTAAAGTTTATATGTGTCTTTTGAAACTACACAAACTTTAAAATATTAACAAGGAAAAATAAAAGTATAAGAATAATCTAAAATATTGTTTTAAGAAGAAGAGCAATCAGAAAGGACAAATTCAGGCTTCCCTGGTGGCGCAGTGGTTAAGAGTCTGCTTGCCGATGCAGGGGACGCGGGTTCGTGTCCCGGTCCGGGAGGATCCCGCGTGCCGCGGAGCGGCTGGGCCCGTGAGCCATGGCCGCTGAGCCTGCGCATCCTGACCTTGTGCTCCGCAACGGGAGAGGCCACAGCGGTGAGAGGCCCGCGTACCACAAAAAAAAAAAAAAAAAAAAAAAGGACAAATTCCACCTGATATTAAAGCTAATTATAGATCTACAATAATTAAAGCTGTCATATTAGTAGACAAAGAAGTGAATTAAACAAACCCAAATTAGACGCAAGGCATACTGGCATACCAAGATTTAGCACATAGAAAAGGGTAGCATTTTAAATGACAGGTGAAAGAAACAACTACAATGAGAAACCATTTTGAGGAAGATAGAATTGGAGTCTCACCTCACACCTTACACCAAAATAAGTTCCAGACTGATCAAAAATTCAAACATAAAAATGGATGAAGAAACAAAACTCAAACAGTTAAAGCTGAGGGAAAAAGCATGTCAAAATGTTTTAATAATCTTTAAAGCAAATGGTCTTCTAAGCATGAGAAAAACCAAAAAGGGAGAAAAAGGCTGATAAATTTGACTAAACCAATATGAAAACATTTTCACATGACAAAAAAAAAGCTCAAGAGACAAAAGCCCAAATCAAAATAGTCATACCACATGTGACAAAATAGTAAATTTCCTTAATGTAAAAGGAGGTCCTACAAATCAGTAACAAAAAGGTCATTAACCAAATAGTATGACATACAAATTCCCTCTAAACTTTCATTTTAATATATTTGTTTGAACAACATATTTATTTATACTCCTTATTGAAATTTAACTTGAAGGAAAGCAAAAGAATACAAAGAGAATGCAAGAAGAGACAAGAAGGAAGAGAGTTTTAAAAAAATTCTGGAGTTTGAAAAAATAAAGCACACCGGAATGATTACTTTCTCAGCAGAGCAAAAACAGCAGCAGAAACCCAGAAGTAAGTCAGATTGTTCTAATGGACTCTGAAAAGGCTCTGGACATGGAGGCCCTGTGTTCTTCTAAAACAGGCGGTAATGGATGGCACTGAAAACAGAATCGATTCAAAGTCTCTGTATAGGGAAGCTGGACATTCTTGAGTCCCTTCACCCACCCTTCTCCAGCCCTGCCAGAGAGCAGAATGGAGTAATACTCCTTCACGGCTAACAAAGTAAAATCTGTATTTGTTACAGAGGTCAGAACGTAGCAACAATAATCCACATTGTGGTTGGGTTTCCTTGTGAGACCACGAAAGCCTCTTTAATACATCATGCAATGGAGGGTTTTCCATTAATAGTACCATAGGGTTTAAATAGCATGTAGACTAACTCAGTATTTCTTAGAGAAGGGCACCTAGAGTTTCAGATTGCTAAGTGCATACCTCCTTCCTTCTACTCCAGAACAGTCGGCTAAGCAGCTTCTAAAATGGGGCTCAGGTGATGGTGAGGGAACAGGTACAAAATCTTCCATGGAAGTGGTGGCAGAGGGCTCTTAACGAAGATGGGAGGTTGGGGATACTGGAGATGGCAGGATTTGATCAGCTGGGATGGGTAAGGTTTATGGTAGGAATGGAGTGAAGACCATCCAGTGTCTGAGAAGTGAAGAGCAGTTCGTATGCAATGTCAGTCAGGAATGCAAGTCCTTACACTTTTATGTAACGGAAGTCTGTAACTCAAGGCTGCCTCTTTGCTTTTGACATTCTCCTACTTTTATCTTAGGCTTTTATAGTTTATTTATTTGTCTATAACTTTTTACATGATTAGAAAATTCATAATGCTCACCAGACATGTAAAAGTGAGCATCTTGGTAATTACGGTATTTGTGGCAGAGGGAAACTGGAGATAATCTAAGTGCTCATTCCTGGGGAATGGATGAGTAAATTCTGGTGGTGCATCGCTGGGGACTGCATGGTGGCATGTAGACACCATGGATTCCATAGGAATTTCATTGAAATATTGCAAACACCATTTTTTTAAAAATGAGGACTTTGAATCAGGTGATTTCTAAGTTTACTTCCTTGCCGGGAATTCCATAATTCAGTAATTTCAAGATGATTAAAGCAATATAACGCTATATGTTATTCATGTTGAGAAGATAAATCACAGTATCT